AAAACTATTTTTCATTCATTGTTTTTATTAATACCTTTCCTGTAAGGATTGTATAATATTTAATCTTCTTTCTCATTCCTACTTCTTATGCCTTTCAACTAAATACTTATAAGATAAAAATAAAATTTTTATTTTTATTTTTACCATTCCATTTTAGCTACTAAAAAACACCTAATTGTATTACTAATAAAAAAATCCATTTTGATGGATCAACTAGCAAAACCCATCATTTTTGTGATGTTGGGTCCAAACACCAAAACAAAGTTGACCCGTTGCAATTGATTTAAGAAACAGATCAAGAAAGAGATAGTAATCTTAAAGAAACTCATTCTTGTATACTCTGTCAATAATTAATTGAGATAATTGAAGAAACCTAAAATAAAGTTTAATAAATTTTAAACCTTTTCAAAACTAGTCATTGGGCTTTAAATGTTCAAGAAAAATAGCTTGACTGAACATCCACAAACTCCTTCAAATATAAAAGAGATGTTGCTTTAAAGATTGTGTTGTATCTTGCAAAAACAGTAAATGAAGTTGATAAATGCAAAAGATGTAAATGATTTATTTTTTATTCTTTTTATTTTTGTGTCATGAACAAACATATTTTATTTAGTGTTTTATGACAGTTTATATCTATAAAAAATATTAAAATACATAGAGAAAGAGACATAAATGAAAAATAACTATCTTGACTAATTTAAAGATAACTGTAGGGGATAATAGCCTCTAATGGATAATGATGTTTCATTTAAGGCTAAAGATTTTATCATATCCACAGTCATGTGTTGCCCATACTAGCTAATATTTTTAATAATAATATGTATATTTATCAAAATACCAAATTAATCTAGTTATAACAAAAAAATCATAAAGAAAGTGCGAAAATATCCCTTCAAGCCAACTTAATAAATCTTGTTTTTAAGGGCAAGTAAGTTATTTTATTTTTGTTAAAAAAAGGTGAAATGATAAAATAACCCTACGACATCAGTTCATCATTTTTTTTATAGGTAATTAAGTCATTTCACTATACTTTAAAAATATTAAAAGACTAGTATGACCTCAATCAATTTTGTAATGACAAATTGACTCATTTTTCCCTAATAACTAGTTCATTATTTTTTGTTGTGAAGGGTAAAATTGTCTTCTCTCTTTTAAAAGTTTTTTCTTTATAAGTTACATGTGTGAGTGTACATATTTTCTCCCCACAATTTACATATACATATCCCTCAATGTATTATGTATATGTATATAAGATTAATATGCAACTTTCAAGTCATTATTTATGAATATAGGAAATGATAAATCTATTTTTAACGAGCTAAAAAAACCCTTATAACCCTTCTTTCTTAGACGTGCCCAAGGGAATGAGTATGCCTCAAGTAGAGGCTTGGCAGTGTGTTAAACCCAACTATGCTAGGGCTTGACATATTAGGTTTGATATAATCTAAACCTAAATGCTTTTTGGGCTTGGTAATGTGTCAAGCCCGACACATGGACTTGACAGTTAGCTAAGTTCAGGATAACGTGGGTCTAACAAATATACTAGATCCAAGATACTTGGACTTAGCATTCCATCAAGTCCAAAGCAGTTAGACTTGATAGCCAACCAAGTCTAGGGTAATACGAGTTTGATAAACATGCCAGACTCAAGACACTTGAACTTAACATTCCGTCAAGTCTAAAGCAGTTGGATTTGACAGTTAGTCAAGTTTAAGATAATATGAGTCTAAAAAACATGCTAAATTCCAAGTACTTGAATTTAACAGTCAGCCATATCCAACCAAGACACTTAAACTTAGCAATCCATGAAGTCCGATGCATTTAAAGTCCAAAATAACATTGGTCTGACAAAGATACTAGACCTAAAGCACTTGGACTTGATAACTAGCCAAATCCAAGGTAACGACTATCCTTTCTTGCCATCGTTATTTGAATGACCATTCTCTATTAGGTTTAACCTTAAGGAAAAACTTAGTTTTCATGGGCTTAATTATATTTGATATTTTGAACTCTAATTTTTATATACCTTTTTATGTGCATAAAAAATCTTTTAAGGATCCATTATATTCCCATCAAATATCAATACAAATGTAAGAGATATTTATCTCTCATTAAATATTATTAAAGTAATTACGTTGCAAACCTTTCTTTTTATAAAAAGACAAATGGACTATAAATACATCATGAGACCTTCAGAATAAAGATTTATAATTTTTGTTTTTTATTACATATATATTTTTAGAGTATTTCTCTCTAGAATATTCTTGTATTTTTTCTCTAAAAAATTACTTATTTAAATATCGGAGAGTCTTCATCTCTATTAATTCTTTTTTTTTTATATGTACTAACATTGAGTAACTTTGACATACCAAGAAATAAATATAAACTATCAACTATTTTAGTTACAATAAATAAATAAAATTACTATGATCAAATAATTAATCGATTGTCTAATCTGAAACTCCTATTCCCGACTAGTTAAATTTGTGGGGCATCATGAGGAAGAGAACTAACAATACAAAGCCCATTGAAGAAAAACTAATAATTCTGGCTGTGCCTTTTACAAATTATTTTTAAATTGATGGCCTTCGCTCCTTTGTGGATGGAGGCAGCCGAATTAAACAATCATTGCCCCGAGAAAAGTCGAGGAGAAAACCCATTTCTTGCCGATTTTCAAAATCAAATCAACATTTTCACTACCCAACCAATTGTTCTGCTACCCATGCACTTGAAATTCACATAAAAGAGCAAAAAGGCACACACATGGCAACTGCTAGTTGAATTATTAGCTAGCATTTAAAACGCTCCTACCTCTCCTAACACTCTTGTCTTGTATTAAATGTAAAGCAATTATAACATGCACACACACCCACCATCTCTCTCCTAGTCCCTTACCCCTCCAGTCTAAACCAATAAAAACACAAAACACCCCTTTGAGCTTTGACTCCTCTTCTGTGTCTTAACTCTATTATGTTTCCTTAAAATCATTTTTCGTAGACGGCAGAGTCGGCTATTGTCTTTCTTCTCTCTCTCTCTCTCTCTGCATGAAACAGAGTGCTCTGCTTCACTTGATACTGTTACAATGAAGTACATAAGAACGAACAGTTTGAGAAGACTTTTCTCATTGAAAAGACGAAGTCTTGAGGATATAGTTTACATCGATGAAGAAGGAAAAAACAATGAAAACTCCAAGATTGTTCAGGAACCGCAGCATTCTCCAAGACCCTCTTGGAAATGCTTTTCTTTTGAAGAAATATCTGATGCCACCAATGGCTTTAGCCCAGGTTCGCTTCACCTTCATTGCAAGGTTCCAAATTATAATATACCTGTACACATGTTTTGCAATTAATTTGTTTATCTTGGCGTGATAGAGAATCTGGTGGGGAGAGGAGGCTATGCAGAGGTGTACAAAGGGGTGTTAGGTGATGGAGAGGAGATTGCAATAAAGAGGCTAACAAAAGCTTGTAGGGATGAGAGGAAAGAGAAGGAGTTCTTAACAGAGATTGGGACAATTGGTCATGTCTGTCATCCTAACGTCTTGTCCTTGTTGGGTTGTTGCACAGACAATGGGCTTTATCTCATCTTTCATTTCTCCTCCAGAGGCTCTGTTGCTTCCCTTCTTCACGGTACAGAAATATAAGCTTGTTTTCTTTGCAGTGTCAGTAATTAATGATGTCGTTTCTTATTGTATCCGGATTTTGTTAGTTCTTGCAATGTTTTGATGTGTAATGCTTTGATGTTTCTTAATGTAGATGAGAGTTTGCCAGTGATGGAATGGAAAATAAGGTACAAGATTGCCATTGGGACTGCTAGAGGCCTCCATTACTTGCATAAGGGGTGCCAAAGAAGGATAATTCACCGTGACATTAAATCTTCAAATATTCTCCTGACAGCAGATTTTGAGCCATTGGTAAGGTATCCAATCTCAGTCCAGTAAATTTTAGTTGCTATATTGAGTTCGGTATTAGTGTTGTTTTTCTTTGAATTTTACAGATATCTGATTTTGGATTAGCAAAATGGCTCCCATCTCAGTGGACTCACCATTCAATCGCTCCGATTGAAGGAACATTTGGGTAGGGTATCTAGCACCCAATTTTTTTCCATTGGAGGTATGATTATCGTCGCGTTGTACTTAGACTGAAACTTAAAATGATGCATATTCTTTTGCAGGCACTTAGCACCCGAGTACTATATGCATGGAATAGTGGATGAGAAAACAGATGTGTTTGCGTTCGGAGTCTTTTTGCTGGAGATCATTTCTGGCAGGAAACCTGTTGATGGTTCTCACCAAAGCATACATGTATGGGTAAGAAATTTGCCATTAATTCACTATATCAAATGATTGCCGTCTTCATTAAGCAATCCCTTAATTAATTATGTGTCTTAGACTTCAGTGAAATGTATTACTAGTAAATTAAGTTAATTGGACTTGTGGGTTTCTGCTGATTAATTAACAGGCTAAACCAATATTGAACCAAGGAGAGATTGAGAAGCTGGTGGATCCAAGGCTTGGAGGGACGTATGATGCTACACAGCAGAAAAGACTTGGCTTTGCTGCATCCCTTTGCATACGGGCATCTTCAACATGGCGCCCTACAATGAGTGAGGTAGCTATTTGCTTTGCTGTCTGTATACTTGGTTGCGTCTAACAGCACATTTATGCAATGATTCTTATTAGACTAATTGGAGGATGATTGTGGTGTTAATTATTCTCAAACAAAATGATGCTAACCTAATGCAACTTCCTTTTCCTTCAGAAAATCTTCATAAACTGCCAACATACACTAAACTTGTTGATAAGGTGGATCATTGCATCATGTTTAATTATATGTCGGGTTCATGATTCCAATAAATTACCTTTAGTTGACTGGCCGAGGGACCGATTTTCAGGGTCCAAAGATGTAAGTTTCTGCTATTGAAATCACCATCAAAAAGGTTAGATATGGGAGCAGAGTGTAAGCTTTTTTGATTGTTTTCGTGTGGCGACTTTGCACGTCCTATTCATCAATTAAGAAGACTTCAACATATAAACTTAGATCTGATCCTTTAGGTAAAGGTAGCTAGCTTGCAGGGTGTTTTAGTTTTTTCACGCAATTCCAACAGTCAGAGGATGTTCTCTCCTACCTAACATAAATCTTTTGGCCAAAACACTAAATTATGGATCTCCCATGTGATTAGAAGATGAGAATCTGATTATTAAAATCATTGAGAGAGCAGGTCCAGTTTCTTACTCATTATTGTAATAAAAATATCCTGAATATACGTTGTACCAAGTATACAGGCCTATTCCAAGGTATTGAGTTGTTTACGTTTTTGGACTTGGACAAGAGTGTTTGTTCCACCCTTTTTAATCAATTGCAGTGGCAGGATATTAATTGCTGAACAAAAAATTCTTATACATCAAGTTGCAAGGTCCTCTCAAGATTAATTAAGTTCTCGTATAGACATTTACCAAGATAAATTAATGATATAAACTTCTTATTATTGTGTTTGTGAGCTAATCTTAAACAAGAAATCAAATGAGATAGATATTGAATTGGTAACTTTTTAGTGGTTGAAAACAGTTTCTTGTTTTTTATAGAAGAATGGGATGCAGAATATGCTTTTCAAATAGCATAATTTCTTCTACCAAATGAAATGATGTTGCTTCAGAACTTTTAGAGCTAATATTTTATGAAGTCAAAAACCTGATAATGCCAAATGATGAGCTCTTGTGAGGTTTACAGATCTTGCTGTATACTGGCAGGTATTGCAAGTAATGCTAGAAGAGGAGATGGATAAGGAAAGGTGGAAGATACCCAAGGAAGAAGAGCAAGAAGAGTTCTGGGGCTTTGAAGATCTAGAACATGAGTGTGACAGTTCCTTCTCAATTTCTCCACAAGATTCAATCTCTACAAGAAGCACTACGACCATTATAGATTAGCTGCTTAAGTCCACCCTAACCACCACTTTCATTGACATGTAAATACAATATGTATGTATCTCCACTATCAATGATCAGTATGAACCAGGCTGTTTACAGGCACCAACACCTCTTCCTTATCAATAACTACCTCTAACTTGTTGGCGGCCATGATTATCAATGATTAGAACCGATTTGGCTTTCCACGACTCATCACAGTGTTCAAGGAATTTACGCAAAAATCCCAGCTTTCTTCTGTGCTTTTTGAAAACGTCAATAAAAGATTGTTTCCTTTACCAATCAATAACTAACCAATAATTTGGCTTTGTATTCTTGCTAACCCTGCATAGTTCGATTCAAGATTTAAATAAACTAATAATAATTGAAGCTTTGTTTGATTATACGTCCAATCTGTGTTGCGTTTATGTTGAAAGAATTATTAAAATTATTTTTTTTCATATATATATATATATATATATATATCAAAACCATTGAAAATCACATGAAAAGTCAACAAAAAAACCAGATGTATTTTTAAATGGAAAATTATTTCTGTCCAGCAGTAATGAACATCGCTAGCTCCTGTTCATATGCTCAGGATTTGCAGGCATGTATTAGTTAATATTTGCAATGTGATCCTAAGAAACAAAATGGCCGATTCATCACTGTCATGCAAGTAGCCAGGCGTGATGTGCCAACAGTGAATCAGTACAAGGTGGATCCCATGGCAGACAAGAACTTCAAATAATGAATCCCTTTTTATCAATTCTGGACATTATTGGGTCCTCCTCAGCATAATTTCCATTCATTGTTTATATGATTTTTCACACATATACTTTCCCAGGATAAACATTTCAAAACTTGCAACACTTTCTTTCCTTGTCATGCCATCCACATGAAAATGCTTGTATTATATTATTATTATGAAATTGTTATATTGTTTTCAAAGTTCGTATTGCTGTAATTGTTAAGACAGAGGGCGACAGAGGCAAGTGGAGAATTCTCACAACTGGCTGGGTTCTTGAGCTTGACAAGATCATCTCAACTAACTAGAAAATAACTAGTACTACAGATAATATAAAAGATACGAAGGGGAAGGATGTACCATGCGCATGCAGAACAGTACTGAATGCATTTCAGATTGCAGTATTAACTACATATTTTACCCGCGTCCTGCCGCTGATTAAATATTTTTATTTTTTTAATAAAAAAATTTATATACAGACTTTTTCAAAATGTTTTTGTATTTAAAAAAATTCTAAATGAAAATCAAATAATTTATACATATATATAATCAAATAAATCAAAAATTATGTGTGTTAATAAATAAAAAAAACATAAATAATGACTAAAAATAAAAACTAAAAAAATCAAGAGACATATACAAATCAAAATATTTAATTTCATAAGATATAATATTTATGCAGTTGTGTTTGCTAAATTTATTAATTAAAATATTTTTTTATATAATCAAAAGATAATAAAAATAGATATATATATTAAATTGATTGAAAAATATAATATGTAAGGCTGCACGTATTAGAAATATTATTTTAAAATAATTTTTTTTTATTTTAAAAAATAAAGTTCATCCATAAAAAATTAAAAAAATATATAAATTAATCAGAAAACCTACTAAAAAATGAAATGCATTCTTAAAAAATAATCATCATTTTAAATAGGCTTTCTAAATAACATAAAAAAAGAATGAATATTATTCTAAATATAAATAAAAATAAGATTAAGATTAATTTTAAAAAATAAAAAGATAAAAAAAATATTTTTTTAAACAAGAAAAACAGTGACATCTATACTAAAACTTGTTAGATAAATCCAGGCCATGAGCTCAATTAGCATTAAATTTATATCAAATCTAAAAAAATATATAGACAATGTCAGGTAAGATACAAGGGAATGAGTAGTATGGCTGCACAATGTTTACCTCACATTTTTTAAATTTTATATATATATAACAATAAACAATGTATCAACAGTCAAATATGAGGGGGGTGAACAGTGCGGCCATACAGTGTTCACCCCAACCACTAGATTATAAAAAATAAAGGAATCACAGAAGGAAACTTATTTAATTTAATAGACTACGATTCTGTACCAAGTTCATTACACCATATGATCAACCCTCTCTCAGACATGTATTAGAATGCATGAAAAGGAGCAAAGAAATGGTGATTGACGAAACAGGTGTGTCTATATATATATATATATATAAGCGTCGGCAAATTAAATACTTAATGCTCGAAACAGGGCTTCAATGAGACACATGAAATACGTTAGTTTAACAGCTGCGTTTTCCATGCCCAGTTTGTGTTCTTACTTGTGCGCTGTTTATGTGATAGAAGCATCTCAGCCCTTATTTTAATGTTGCTTCAAGAATTGATTAGTGGTTGTTAAACTTAAAAGACCCTGAGGGGCCGGTAGAGCAACGACAATCACCACAGAGAGAGAGAGAGAGAGGCGTGGCGATTTCAAGAGGTATAATATATGGTGGTGGGTGTGGGGAGAGAAGTGACGAGCACAGTGGAGCACAGTAAGTTTGAAAAATCTTCGATGTTTTTAGAGACTGCTGGATTTATTATAATTAATTATAAAAGATCCAAATGATTTGAAGGGATTCAATCGACAAAGAATAGAAAGGTCACCCAGACTCTAGTATAGGAAGGCACTTCTTTACCTAATTCTCACGTGAGCAGAATGTATTAATGCAAAATTTGCAGTTTTAAATAAGAAAATCAACCTAAATTCATGAATGGTTTGAAATTACGTAAAAATTATGTTTTAAAGTGTTTTTTTAATATTTAAAATTATATATTTTTATTTTTTAAAATTAATTTTTAACATTAGCACATTAAAAAGATTTAAAAATATATATAAAAAAAATAATTTTAAAAAAATCAGAATTCTGCAATCCTAAACACAAATATACTGATATTATTGCAACATGTATATTGTGCAGGTCCTTCTATATAATCTCATAGAAGGAAAGAAAGAAAAAAGTCTTAAAAGATCCCAAAACCTGTTTAGAGCTTCGATATTGATGGTGAAAAATCCATAAAATAATTCCGTTGCCGGGAATCGAACCCGGGTCTCCTGGGTGAAAGCCAGATATCCTAACCGCTGGACGACAACGCAAGACTTGTGTAGCTTGTCCCCTTTATTTAGTTATAGATAAGACATGTATATTTTATCTTGTCCTCTTCCACGCTTGATTTAAATAGGGATTTTGAGGAATTTTTTTATTTTATTTTATAAATTTTCCGAGTTCTTGTTGCATTGCATATCGAAACTAATATTTGTTCTTGACAGGATCTTAAGTGCGTAAATCATGCATATTGGGGCATATGTATTTATAAAAAAATTATTTTATATGATTATTCCTGATTATAATATGAAAAACAAATTCAGTAAACATCTTCAAATAATTTTAAACTCATACATTAGATGACATAATGTAGCAAATATAATATGGATTTCTTTATCATTACACTTCTTTTGAAAATAACCTTTTTATTTATTTATTGATATAGGTGGATAGTTAGCTTATACACAAAAACATGCAAGAACATTCCCATTTGCCACTAATACTAAGTCCGATCGAGAGACATTATTTTCAGATAAAAAAACCTTGTTTTTTAGTATGATTAATTAACCATCTACCTAATTCTATATGGCATCATTAATATATGTTGATTCATAAGAGGAGATCAAGAAACCTTGATTTATCTATTTATATTTTGTTGATTTTAAACTAGTTATGCCTTGTGACTTCTTGTTTTTTGTGATATTATGTTGTATTTATTGCATATATATATATATAAAAGTTGAACATATAATCCAAATGGTTGGTTGATAAAAAAGAGAGAGTATAATCTTGATTAAATAATATTTTTGTTTATTCCCATTTAAGTTTGAAGTTTAAATATCTTGATTAAATAATATATTAATTGATTAATAAATTTTTATGGTATTAAGGTATTAATTACAAAGGTTTATATGTATCTATGGTTTTTTTAATAAAAAAATCTTATCTTAAACTCTAATAGCAACATTCAATAAGATTTATTAAATTCTTTTTTGATGCATCAAATCAATATAAAATATCTATTTTTAAGATCATTTTAAAAATAAAATTAAATATAAATTGATATACAAACTAAAGTAAAATATTTTTTATGTTAAATAAAAAAATGATTCATAAGCATGTTTGTCAATGTGTTTTAAAAGTGTTTTTAAAAAATTTAAATTTATTTTATTTTAAATTAATATAATTTTTTTATTTTCAAATATTTTAATATTAAAAATATTTTTTAAAAAATATAAACAATTATTTTAATATATTTTATAATAAAAACACTAAAACAAGTTCTTTTATATATATAGGAACATATGCCCTGCTCGTCCCTTTGTGTGTGTGTGTGTGTGTGTAGACACACACAAAGGGACGAGCAGGGCATATAAATTTTTTTTAAGCAGTGAAAATGAAATAAAGTATAAGTTGAATCTATATATATATATAGCAAATAACGAGAACTTGGGAAAAGAATTTTTTTTAAAAAGAAAAAAATGGAAGTAGCTCAATTCCAAATCTATTAAATATATAATGATAAAATTGGATTAAAAAAACAAAAAAAAATCATATTGAATCATTTAGAATTAATATAATAAATTTATAACTCGGGTAATAATGGTTGAGCCAACTAAAATTAACTTATTAAACTCAGTGTCCAGGTCATGATATCGGGAGAACCCAATGGAAAAAAAAAAGAAAAAAATCACAAAGCTTATTTTAAAAAAAAAATCAATGTTTAATGATGAAAACTAGAAAAAAATAAAAAAAAATAATGTCAATTTACATTAACTTTTCAAACTCGTGATCTGGATCATTAAATAAAAAACATCCTATCTGGAAAAACCACAAAACTCAATTCTCAACCAATCAAATGTTGAAGGTGCAATTAAAAAAAGAATTCAATTATACCAAAGAACCTAACACAAAAAAATAAAAATAAAAGAATAAGATCAAAATTGAAATAAAATTAAATTAGATGGCAACTATAAATCCTTAATTGAAGAATGAAAAAGAAAAATAAATTTAATAAAAAAAATACA